TTATTTGGATACTCTTCAGCGATGCCCCAATCTGGCTTTCTATTCTCATTACCTAGAGTGGTTTTCTAAATACAGTGCCGAGGCCACACCTGCTACCGCTGAGCCCAGATCTGGGCAGGCGTGGAGCTCAGCAGTTTGTATTTCGGAAGGCTTCCTGGGTGCCTCGTCCACAGGCAGCCGGATCCAGCCACGCTGATGAGCTGGACCGTTGGACGGGAGCATTTCTTACTAAGGAGAGGAATGCAGTGAAGCCCTCGACTGAAGTCGTGTTCCGGTCACGACGTATTGGAAATAAAAATGCAAACTTTACTTCCTGACATTCCAGGTCCTTCCAAGATGTCCCTCCTTTTAATCACTTAATATCTACATACAGCACACGCGTGCACATCCTGACCTCCCCCCACAACGAGGATTCATTACTTTATAAAACGAGCTATTTTACAGCGTGAGATTGACTATCACTGGCTTTTTTTTTTTTTTTTTTTTTTTTTATTAATGAAAGGAAAAAAGGAACAGAGGAAGGAAACAGAAGAGCGGCAAGACAAGAGTTAGGTTTCAAGTGTGAGGAAGGAATTTTGCACACTATCTCGGTATATTCTGACCAGATTCCTGTTCACCTGCGTATAGTATCAGGGTCTGTACTTCACCACCTCGAGGGGCCTCAGACTGAGTCCAGTGCTGGGGCCGGAGTGCTGGGGCCAGAGTGCCCATGAAACAGTAGAGCTAGTTCAGTCACGGCAGCACCGTTTGTGCAGACAGGAAATCGGCTGCTTGCGAGTGGAGTGCATGCATCTGAGAGTGGCCCAGAAGGGGCTGTCATGCAGGAGGTCATAGGCTAAATTCTCCTTACTCAGTGTCTCATGCACCATGTTTTTCCCACTGTATCTGGTAGGAGATGCTTACAGAAATTACACGATTTTTGTAGCTGAGGATCTCTAACCTAATAATACCTAGGTTGCAATTGATTGGTTCTTGGTTCTTGGACTTGGGTTTCTGGGTATCGTTGGCTAAAAGGTCTCTGTTGTCGCCCAAAGCCTCTTCAGGGTCATATGTAATTCCTTTTGAATGAATTTTTGGTAAAGTTACACCAAGTGCTTGGAGTCGGACGGAAAAGGGAGGGAAAAGTCGGAGGGAAAAGCACAGGGAAAAGCTGCGGATGGCAACAGGCCCCAGCACAGCTGGGAACGGTTAGTTCACTTCCGAGGTGTGGAGAGGCTAGCGTTTGCTGGAGAGGTTTGAGAGAGAGGGTTTCCACTGACGGCGTGGAGCAGACGGGCTGGGCAAGAGCTCAGTAGTGCTCAAAACGCGTGAGAAGACGGAAAGCTCCGGGTACAAGTTTTATTCTCTGCCCTAATGATCCGTGACACCCGCCCTCAGCAAGCAGGACGCGCGGGGGCCTTCAGTGAATGTATTTAATGACAGTCTCGATCTTGAGATCCTTCTTGATATCTCACAACTCAAATACGTGATTTCAATTGGGAGCAATATTTCTGTACAAAACACAGAGCTTGGTGGTTTTCCAAACCCTGTGGCTTTGCCCTTTGTATGTATCAGTCAACTTAATTTGGGTTTATTGCTGGAAATCTTTGGTGCGTTTGGCAAAACTGAAAGCCTGGCTGCACTTGTGAATGAGGTTTTATCTAAGTTGTTGCCTTGCTTTGCTCTGTGTGTCCTGGAGAAGTGCACTTTGCACCTGAACAACAGAACGCCGTGTCTCTTGAGAACTGTTACCCCTGGGCAAGAGAACCGAGCGTGGGGCCATGAAATTCCCCTCTGAAGCACTGAATCAGAGCCATGTAGGGCATGGCTCACGGACTCCACAGGGCCATATATTAAAAGGGAAATCCAAAATAATAAAGTAGAAGGCATGCGTATCGGGGCAGGTTTTAGACAGTTTGGTCACCTGTTACATAGAAGCTTTATCTTTTTCCCAAAAGACACGTGTTCTACAGGCATTGAGAAGTATTCTTTTCATTATGGCTAATGTGATTTATTTATTAAGGTCCCCAAGGTGCATACTGTGTGCTATCTGGAGGTACACATGGCGGTGTGTGACTTTGCTGGGTAACTGACTTATTTCCAAATGACTTTGTTTCTATCAAAATAACTCTGATGCCGGTGTGAATCTCTCATACCGATGCCGCGTCATAAAGTGACTTCAGATTAGTTGCCTCAAAAAATACTAAACAGAGGAGCTGTAAGTGCTGAATTATATTTTAATGTAACCCTTTCAGAGTGGGTTAAAGCCATTTCCCTAATTTAATACCACTTGATTTCTAATAGGACATCCATTTACATCCTTTTTAATCTGCCACACTAAAATGTATGATGTTTGTGATAATTTTTAGGTAAGAATACTGTGCAGATATTAGTCAGATGAAATACTATGACCCAATGTTGCAGTGACAATTCCTAAATGGAGGATATGTAGTCTGTATTATGTAGGACAAATAATGTAATAGTTTTTCACAGCTTTCTAACTTCTACGAGCGCAGCTAGCACGAAAAGCCATTGTCTGCGTAACTTGCAATCACATAGCAACAGTGTAACTAATAATCAACAGTAGTAGTTTGGCCAAATGGCAACAGACTAGACTGTTGCCTCAGACTATAGCTTCGAAGATTACTTAGATTACATTGTTTGAAAAGTGTAGTCTACAGCCTATGATATATAATAGATCTCTGGTGTATTTTTCATAGTGACATTTGTGACAATATAAATGGCTACTTGTCTAAGTAGAGCCATATAAACTAAAAGAGTTTGTTATTTTTTCGACAAATTGAATGTATATACAATTCGTGTCTTGTGCCCTATTACAAATGACTGGGTAATGAAGTGGGTTTCCAGTGATGTTTTAAAAATATGCTTCCCACAGATATTCTTCAGTATAGAGAGAAAGATCATATATCTAGAATAGTTGCTTGGACAAATCCTCACGAAAAGCAGGGAAATAGGTCGGATGATTACTGGAAGTCCCTTGCAGTCTTATGGTTATGAAACACATTGCTTACCACCAAAACATTGATTGATTTAGTTTATCATAATAAGCTCTAAATTCCTATGCAGAATAAGTATAAATTACTTCAGTGAAGCTTGGTTTTCTCCCCATGTCCTGGGCTGTAACAGAGCACACAGCTGAAGTGTCGTCTGTCTTCAGCACGAGGACTGAGGTGTGCCCAGCCTGTTCCGTTCACAGTAACTGGGAACCTCCTCCCCCTTCTTCCCTGAGAAGGAAGTGGGTTAATTTCCCAGTCCCCTGAAGAAATTCTTTTGTAACTACCCCCATAAGCGCACCCTGCCCCCAGTCTATAAAACTCCCTTCAAATAAACACACTGGCCTTCTGGCCCCCCATGTTGTTAAAAACAGACACCTAGACCCAAGGAGGAGGGAGGCCAGCAAGGCTTCAGAAAGCTCAGGTTCTAGATCCCATCTCCACGCTATGTGCGGCACTAGCATCCTCATGAGCCTTGGGGTGAAAACTGTTCAGCAATTATAGATCACCATTATAACAAATACTTTGTGTATCTATAAATGTTTTCTAGCTACACACTTAGAGAACTTAAAAGCACTAGTCAGCCTCCCAGGCTACACTGGACACTATTGATACGCTCCGTAGCTGAGTTGCGGCATCAGTGAATCCTAACACAGCCCCCGTGCCTGCGCAGAGAAGTCGCTCAGTCACGTTCAGCAGACACAAGCTCTCAATGAGTACACCGTTTGGAGGAAAATGGCCATTCCAGGGTTTCAGGGAAACACATCGATTTCCAGTTCATTAACCTCAGCAGAAACTTGGGTTTTATATTAGATCCAAAATAGGAAAACTCTGGATGTACTGTGCTCCTGATTTCAGGGGGAGCCTGTGATAATATTTTCATGCAGTGCTAATTAGCGGGAACAGATCGTCATTTTAGGACCGCATGGGATGGAAGCCTGTCTGTCACTATGGCGATGACGGGGCCTGGGGGACACAGACCTACTTCAGTAGGTCTGAAGGTGATTCATGAATTTAAGAGCCACATCAATCAAACTGCAGGAGAAAAGAATTGCTATTATTTTTTTAATCTCAAAGCCATAAAACACAGGGTTCCCCCCACCCCTTATTTTGCAAGAAGAAATAACGTTCTTGGCAAACAGCCTACAACCTCTTTCTCCCTAACGCCAGCATCTGGCAGTTTTCTCCCAGAGTGGCAGGTAGCCCTTAGGAGGCATCCGGCGGGCAGAGTGGGCAGAGGTGGGGGGAAGAGTAACGAGTCATGGAATGGGGACGCTGTTTATTAGAATATAGCTGAGGACATTGTACAAAGTACCTATTTTGCAAGTGCTACATTGAAAAGGGTCCAGTGCAGCAAAGCATTTTGTTTTATCTGACATTTGTTAGAAGATGGCAACAAGACTTTGCTGTAATCCTAGTTACAGATGAATCTCTTATTGGGAAATGCTATTTCCTCTGGATTCCATGCTACATTAATTAAATCTAAAAGATATATTTACTAAGCAGACAGACAGTGCTTTCTCAGCATCTGAAGTCCCTGGTTATATGTATGCTCAGTCCGAGCACTAATCTGTCTAAATGAGTGAAACTCTATTTGATTAGTAGGTTACAGTTACATAAAACACACTACACAGTAGCAGATTCAGAAAATGGAGTAATGTTGTGTGAAATGTAATTATCTAGGAGAAGAGAGATGTAGAAAAATAGGTAATATCCCTAAAATATTTTGCTGAGTTAGAGTTCTTCCTGCTGGGAAGACGACCACACTGCGATGATGTGTATGAAATGTCTGTTCAGAAAAACAAAATTAGAAAATAGTCCTCACATACCAACTCACTAAACGGAGGACTATATCCTCAAAACTGGCTCTCAAAAGTGATCCAGATAAATGGGGAAAGATACCTGTATGTGTGACAAACAAGAAACACAGAATCTATTTATTAGTTTTGAAAGGGGCCCCTACTTAAAATATAGATATATATGTGTGTGTATATATATATATATATATATATATATATATGACCAAAAACACTCACATGGATGGACACATCTCATTACCCCCCTTCCTTTTTTTTTTTTTTTTTTTTTTTTTAACTGATAGTCCTTATCCACCTTTTTCTAGGATTATTGCCTAACACAATACAGAAATTCCGCTCAGGCAAGTAGTGGAAGAGAAACCATCTTGTTCTACTCTCCCGTCATGACCCATGTTCTGGGCTTGTGCTTTTTGGAGGAGTCTTTGATCTGCAGTAGGTCTCAGAGGCTTGTCTCCCGGAGGAACATGGTGCCAATGTTGTAGGAAACTTTTTTTATCCTCGAGGAGGAAAGAGAAGGCTTTGGCTGCTTAGGACCAGTCCTTACCTCCAGGAAATAGCAGATCCCAGGGATTTCCTTTGGAAAGTTATCTGGAAGCTCTTCACGGGACCGAGGGATGAATGTGAAACTTTCTTCCCGTTTTAATAATCTAAGGAGAAAATACAGACAGTGTGAATCAAATAGGGCCGATGAGAATGAATGAACAGAAAATTTAAAGACTCAGGAATCTTATCAATGATAAGGCTCAAGTTAACACTCCTATTTCTTCGAGTAGATGTGGCCTTCACAGGGCTCCAGATGCTAGGAAGTGTTTCTCAAGAAAGATACCTTCGTGTTATTATAACAACAACAAAAATAAGCAGGGCCAGTTAAATTTTTTTTCAAGTTTGATTTTTTCCCTAAACAAAGAATGAAGGAAACCGAATAATGAAATATTTATTTGAACATGTAATATTTAACCTTTCTGTTTTTAAAACCTAACTAAATTTTTTTAATTAATTAATTAATTTTTTTTATAAACATATAATATATTTTTATCCCCAGGGGTACAGGTCTGTGAATCGCCAGGTTTACACACTTCACAGCACTCACCATAGCACAAACCCTCCCCAATGTCCATAACCCCACCCCCCTCTCCCGGCCCCCCTCCCCCCAGCAACCCTCAGTTTGTTTTGTGAGATTAAGAGTCACTTATGGTTTGTCTCCCTCCCGATCCCATCTTGTTTCATTTATTCTTCTACCCCCCAAAACCCCCATGTTGCATCTCCACTTCCTCATATCAGGGAGATCATGTGATAAAAACCTAACTAAATTCTGAAGCACCCTTTTTATGTTCTGTAGACTCTCCACAGGCTTTAAAGGTGTCTCCTGCCTGTCGAAGACCTCAGACACTCAGTCACTGAGCATCACAGACAACACTCATGCCTCAGAGTGTCTGCCGTAGCTGGCGACTGGTTTCTAGCCATTTGTCTTTCATGAGCTCCAGCATTTATTGGTCAGACAGAATGACTCTTCCCTTCTAGTCACATATAAAGACTCTTTCTAGAAACACTAATGCTAGAGACTTAATCTTGTCCAGGTCCATGACATGTAAGTTTGATTCCCAGACCTAAAAATGCGGCCCAGCAATTCACCCTAATTCAGCAGCTCTTACGGGCTGCTTCTCACTGGCCAAGAACAATCTCCTGCGTGTTCTTGGACACACACTGTTGAACAGAACGCCATGTTTTGCCAAGAGCGATAGAAATAAGGAATTAAAGAAGCAGAAAACACAGACTGAAAAGCAAACAAAAGCCCATAGTAATCCAGAAATTTACGATCTGTGTCAGCACGTGTCCAGCCATTTGGTAGCATTACAGGAGGGAAGAAAGCGAGCATGAAGGGGATGGAGGAGGGTAAGATGAGGTTTTGAAATCCTAAACTAAATGTTTAGGCTTTTATTTGGAAGGCACAGTGGAGTCAAACCCATCATCCCCTTTTCCCTAAAAACAACTTCTTTTCCTAAGACAGGTGGACGTTCACAGCAGTTCCAACTTGTGTGAGCAGGGGTCGGGGGGAGGAGCCGCAGAGAGAAGGCAGAGTGAGAAAGGCGGGAGGGCAAGGAGAGCGAAGGTTGTGTGGAAACACAGTGTCACTACTACCTTTACACTAAAAAGGGAAGAAATCTTTGAGTCTTCATAAAAATATCCAAAAACAACAGTTGGTAGCACTAAGAATTCTTATAGTAGGAGCGATCTATATTTACGTTTATGAATGGGAGTTGTGCCATTTTTCTTTATCAAGGATTTTTGTTTCAAGTTTTAATCGACCATTTCTTTGAAAGTATTCTACAATGATTACACTAACTTGGAATATAAAGGAACGAGGCGCTGATATTTCAGAATTATTTCATCCATACATCCCTATCCAAAAATCTAATCATGTCCTTCTCTGACAAATTTATGAAGGGGAAAAGTCCAGAATCAGAGTGATTTGCTCATAGGAGCAATGGGACAGCGAGGGCATTGGGACTAGAATGGGATTTGGTAACTCCGAGTCAAGCTCAGCCCTACAATAAATAGTAAGACTACACTACGGACACTTTCTTTCACAAAACTGAGATGTAGGTGAGGCATTAATGACAATCAGAATGAAAGTCATTGGTACTGTTTACTTTCTCTTTTTACGGATGTCAGCTTTCTTTACGTGGAATATATAATCAATCGTAAAATGTAGAGTTTCCTAAACAATAGCTAAATTTAGCGTTGAATTCCACAATAATTTTCCTTAGCTCAAATAGAACAGTCATCCATGTGAGATGTGGGTGTCAATGATGCCCGTCAACAAACGTGTTGAGTGCTGGTGACACGCTCTAAGAGTCCTCCGAATGGAGGAGAGAGGGAGTGGGGGTGCACAGAACAAGTTAATACAGAACTAAAAGGGCACAAAATACTGACAGGAACAAATCAGCAGCATTGCCAGGCAGCATATGGGAAAACATAGGATAAAATCCAAAGGAGTAAATTCTGTAGGGTCAATGCAGAAATGAGGACTATGGGTCTTAGCACAAAAGTCAAGAAGCAGAGCAATAAAGTTCACTCTCACCCGTGATAAAATAAAGCAAAACCCCAACCTTTCAAACACGCCTCCTTAAAGGCCCAAGAACTAGGTAGGACTCTACGGGAGATGCACTCTTCTCCCCTTATACGTTAAGCCATCTTTTTCTCATGCTGTATTTGACTTACAAAGGTCTTTATATTTTGCTGTGATTGAGATGTTCAGACAGTGAGGACGAGCACCCAGCTGACGCCTCCGTTAGTACTCGTACGTGACCGGAAAGACAGGGGCCCTAGCTGCTTCGGATGCCAGGACTTCCAAATAATTCACTGCACCTTGGTAGGAAACTCTTCACAATGAATTGATCTCTTGACATTTCCAATATGTCTCCTATTGACTCTGCTAAAATGACAAAGACAGCAGCTCCTATGGGGCTTTATTCTTTCCCAGCTAACCATTTTGGTATTAATAAACTAAATGCAGTTTTAAAATTGAATAATATGAATGAGAACACCTAAGGGTAAATTTATCCAAGCTCCCGTGATATCCGGGGTTTAGCAGCCTCTGTATAAATGCACACTCAAATGCGACATTCAGACAATTTCTGAGAGGCCGATCTGAATGCGCTCCTGGCGCGGCTGTGCAGGAGGTCAGGGGAAACGTTTCACACAGCCTGCCTGGTGGTGATGAATCGTGGGACTGAATAAATGATCAAATGTGTATACAGGGATTAGGAATTTATACCCTGATCACCCCAGAACCTCTGATCCCCTATGAAATGCTTTATTAAGTCCAAGAGCCTGGGCTGGCTCTAAAGCTCTTTCTTCAGCAAGTCAGGACCGATAGGGAAGCTTGGATTCTACACAAATCTAAATTAATCCCCAGCTGGTTGATACACAACCTGGGAGTTTGGACAACATGTTTAATAAGCATTTGGCAGCCACACAAATCCTGGCTCACCTGCCTGTCACTATTCCTCCTCTCAACAAAGTTTTTCCTACCAGTTGATTTTCATGATGAGAATTCACTGCTGCTTTGGATCCCTGGACGTCCCCCCCACCCACACACACCCAGCATGTGCAGGGAGCTTAATACTTTGGAGGTCCATGGACCTGCACCCTCACTGCTACAGAAATGAAGCCCATTTCTGCCTCACACAGTTCTTGTCTGCATGCCCACTTCTGCCCGTTTGCACTGAGCTCTGTGCTCTATCCTCTCTGTCTGTAAAGGGCCCTGAAACTTACTCACACTGAGGTACAAATGACCTAAATATAATTTGCATTTTTAACACCGGACTCTGAGTTTTAAAAAGGTAGCGGAATTATAACAGTGGCATTTCAGGGAACTTATTCTAGGAGTTATTATCTTCTGCAGATCCTACTTAAGTTGGCTTCTATAAAGTACAGCTTAGTCCTCCATAGGGTAAGGTCAGAATTCAGTCTTTCATTCTTCTGTACACTTCTATATAGTCGTACCAAATTACATACATTGATTTCATTGTGAGTTAGGGTGGTCTTCTTGGCCATTTGCTATGTGCATTTCCCGTACTGCTCTAGACTACAGAATTAGGGAAGACAACCAATCATGCCGTTCCCTTTGCCTTCAGTCAGCCTTCGCTCAGTGAGTAGACACCATGGACAACTCCCTAGACACAGCGAACCTTGCTGCAGCCTCGAATCGGAACCAGCCAGTATACGCGGTCCTCTCAGACCTGCCTGTATGATGTCATCACGTGAGATTGGAAAATCTTAGTTTCGACAACCAAAAAGGCCCATGGGGTGTACAGAGCTCTCAGACAGGGACCACCCAGAATGCGACCCACCAGAGGGCTCACTGGCTTGGCTGCTAATTACTGTATTACCAAAAGCTGCTTCAAGACCGAGACAAGATAAAGTAGTATATTTTGCATCTTTCAGAGCTCTGGGCTGGAAGGAATACCTGGAAAGTGACCTTGTAAAGATTTTGGATGTCTGAAATGTCTTTGGATCACTCTCAGCTTGATTGGTTTCATTAGGCATTAAGTTCTTGTCTGGAAATGATTATTTTCCCCTCAGAATTTGCTGCTGGAAATCCAGATGTCATTCTGTTTTCTATTCCAGTGGCTATGACTTTTTTCCTCCTATGTCTCTTAGTCTGTCTCATCCTCTTTCTGTCTCTGGTATTAGGAAAATTAATGACAATATATCTCAATATATCTTTTTCTCTCTCTTTAATTGAAGTATAGTTGGCATGCAATATGACATTAGTTTCAGGTGTACAAGTCAGTGTTCGGACAATGCTACATGTTAGGCTTGTTTCCCACAGGTGTGGGCTACCACCTGTCCCCAAAGAAGGCTATTATTGTGCCATTGATTATATTCCCTGTACTGTACCTTTTACTGCCATGACTTATTCCGTTAGTGGAGGTCTGTAGCTCCCACTCCCCTCTACCCCTTTTTGCCAAACTCCCTCCTCTATGGCAACCACCAGATGGTTTTCTGTATTTATGCATCTGTTTCTTTTTTTTTTTTTTTTTTTTTTTGACAGATCACAAGTAGGCAGAGAGAGAGGAGGAAGCAGGCTCCCCGCTGAGCAGAGAGCCGGATGTGGGGCTCGATCCCAGGACCCCGGGAT